GCAGTTGCCAGAAAAATGGATGAGGGCTTGTGTGTTAGGCATCAACAAACCATCATTCTTTTTGCTTCCAATGGGGCAAGGGAAAACATTAGGGTACTCTGTATACCATGAGTCCAGAATAAGAAGAAGCAAGCAAGCAATAGACATAAAGAAAGATGTACAAATAGGAGACTAGAAAGACACTGACTGACCCCCAGAAAGAATAATTATTATGGTCCAGCTTATTGGTTACAAGATGGCATATGGGGATATCACACTCCCATCTGTGTGATAATCACATCATTAGGTTACAGGCAGTTCTATACATTACAACCAATGAAACATACAGAGCTTTAGATTTGCTACCCATACAAGCCCCACAGATGAGAAATGCAATATATAAGAATAAGCTAGCACTAGACTATCTCCTGACCTCAGAGGAGGAGTTTGTGGAAAATTTAATCTAACCAATTGTTGTTTAGAATTTGATGACAATGGACAAGCAATAATGGAGATGAATCACCCAGAATTCAGAAAATGGTCCATGTCCCAGTCCAAACTTGGAAAGGATAGTCTCCAAATTCTCTTTTTGGTGGATGGTTTTCATTCTTTTGTGGCTTCAAGACTCTTATAGGGAGTGTAATTCTCATATTAGGTGGATGCGTAAAACTCCCTTGTCTCTTTCCTCTTTCATTTAGAAGTGTACAATCAATCATAGAGGCAGTAGTGGCTAGGCACACTACCACCAAAATAGTGGTTTTAACTAAATATCAGCCTTTTTCCTCACAGGAAGAGAACCCACACAGTAAAAAGGCAGACAACTGTAGTACCAATGTAGGACTCCTCTGAGGGTATTTTTCTTCCTCATGCTCTGCCTTCTTTTGTTCCCTCCCTGAATCACATGAAGTACAGATGTGCAGATAAAGAGCTTCTGGGCCAAATCAGGAAGTATAACCATCAGGTGTCATAACCTAATGAAGCAGCTTGCTAAAGAGTAACCTGGCTCCAGTCTTGTCTTCCAGGCTAAGCAAAAGCCTCCAACAATGATGCCCTATGATACCGCATGCCCTGTAAGGCCCCAGATGGAGGGCTGGTTATCAATAATGGATAACAGTCCCCAGAGCGAGGGACAACCTAAGACAGGCACAGTGCAGAGAGGCCAACAGGAGTCAAAGGAATTTTCCTACTCTCACCATCAGTATGTCCATAACAGATGACAACAGGAGAAGGTACACTGGTGAGCTAGTTTTGCAATCAGGAAAATGAATAGTAACACTTTAATGACAGACTGACCCCTCCATCCTGGCATCATGTGAATTGTAAAGTCTCAAAAAGAGAAAAGAGAGAAAAGCCTTGTAGGAATGAAATCCCTTTAAAGAAAGCTTTTAAGAGGGGAATGAGGAGCAAAACGAAATCAAAGACAGAGTTAAAGTAGAATAAGTAATAGTTAACATTAGGACTAGGTTACTAACAAAAAAATCATAGTAAGCAAAAATAATTAACCCCTCCCAGCTTAGCCCAACTAACTGCAGCTGCAAACTTATCTCACAGCCCCCATTCCAGGCTAGTCATAAAACCTGTATTTAGAGAAAGTAGAGATAAAGTAGACCTAGCACTGCCCACTACCTACTTACATAAGAACACCAGAGGATGTGTTTATGCCATGGCCCACACATACTTGTGCAATTCCTGTTTCTCTGGTCTCCTTGGGCGTCTTCCTCAACTATACAACCTTCTACCTCAGCTGCAAGGTTATAAGGTCAAGATAAACACGAAGATAATGCATGTTTTCCCAAGATTACAAAACTTAATTAACTGTCTTTTTCCTAAACGTGTTTTCTGCCTTATTTTCCCACCTCAGATTGTATAAATGCAATACGTTCTGTTTGTTCAGCGCTGACGGCCATTACAGGCATTAGCCTCGCCATCATCAGTCAGTACACCAATAAATTCTCTTGCATCTCCGTGGTCTCCTTGCCCTCCTTGGCTTGAGTTCCCACAATATTTTGACTACTTTCATTCACACTACAATAACAGAGTTGAATAGCTGTGATAGAGACCACATGGCCTAACATAGCTCCTATCTGGCCCTTTACAGAAAAAGTTTACTAATCTCTGCTTTATATCATGACCAGAATGCCCTGATACTCAAATCCAATCTTGTGACTCCTCTGATCAAACTTTTCCAATGAATGTTTGCAGAAAACATTGCTGGCTTCCTATGCACAGCCATTATTTATTCTTTCTTGCTGCAGAAACAGAAGTTTATTTAGACATTTATTATTCCATTACCCCCATTACCCCCATCCCATCTCCATAAAGAGAAATGATTAGGCTAAGCTAGTCACAGTCAGGCGATCCCTCTGCCCGGCTTTCAGCCTCCTCAAGTGTTCTTCCCTCCATGCTTTCAGACTCATCAGGCCTTCTTCCTTCCCAGCATTCAGGCTCCTCAGGCACTTTTTCCACCAAGGGTGCAGCCTCCTCAGGCTTTCTTTCCATCAGTCCTGCAGCCTCATCAGTGGTTTCCTCCCTCAAGCTTTCAGCCTTCTCAGACGTTCTTTCCACCATGGGTGCAGCCTTGTCAGGCATTTTCACCAAGGGTGCAGCCTCCTCAGGCATTACTTCCACCAAGGGTGCAG